ACTCCCTCTCACTCTCTCACTCTCTCACTCCCTCACTGCCTCCCTCTCTCACTGCCTCATTCACTGTCTCATTCACTGTCTCACTCCCTCACTGCCTCCCTCTCTCACTGCCTCATTCACTGTCTCACTCACTCACTGCCTCACTCTCACTGTCTCACTATCTCAATCAATTAGTGTCACTCTCTCACTGCCTCACTCACTCACTGCCTCAATCAGTGATTCACTCTCACTCACTTCCTGACTCTCACTGCCTCACTCTCTCACTCACTCACTCAGTAAAAAAAATTAAAAAAAGAACTGTAAAGCAAATTGACCATACAGCACAAAAAATAATACAAATTGGCAATAAAGCACAAAAAGTGGACAATGAAGCACAGAAAATAAAGCACAAAAAGTTTTACAAAGTTAACATTATACGCAATTCCCAGACATTTGAACTAAGATGGTGGTACTCCTCTAAATCCCACATGACTATAAGGAAGAATCTCCCACATTATGAGCAGTCATCTCTCGTTTTATGGATTTAGAAGCTTATTACACTATCTGATGTGGGTGGAGCATAAAAGCCTTGGTCACAGGTCTTGGTTGGGTAGACTGACCTAGTGATCTATGTCAATCTGGAGAAAATTAGACACAGTCCAACCTTAACAAAAACAAATTCAAATACACCAGTGCTCCTAACCAGTGAGGTTCTCTGCACAGACATATGAGTAAACTGATACTGCTCTTATAGAGACTTTGAACTCCTCTAGGAGAACAGTGTTTTCTATTTTTCAGTGTAGGGTCTTTTAGTACATTTATTCACTTAGTATTTCTTGAGTGCCTACCAACTTCCAAGAACCATGCTGAGTCCTAGACTCTGATAACTAGACACCCATCACCTACTTCCCTGTCTATAGCAATAGATAGGGAGCCAACCATTCTTTCTTCCCACCTCTAGCCATGCTCACTCCTGGAGAGCCATAAGGAATGTTCACAGTTTCCTAGTCTGCAACAAACTTTGGATTAAAAACCCTGCCCTTCAGTATTTCCCCAAGGACAAAGGGCAGAAGGGTTAGGAATGGAGGAATGGGAACAGAAAACTCAGGAAGGAAATGGGATAAATAAGGTTACATTATGGTGATGGCAATGAATGAGATGATATAAAATGTGTATGAATTGCTGAATGGAAAACTGATCTGCTCTGTAAACCTTCACTCAATTCACAACAAAAAGTTAAACAAACAAAAAACATTGACTTAAATAACCGCATCTTTCATTAGTGCAGATACAATGAGGAATTGTATCTTATGATAAGAGCAGCATCAGTGTGAATGAGGACTGAGACCCAACAAAAGGCAGCACCACAGAGCACACTCATAGCTCTATCAGAGGTATCTTCTTCCCAGACCCTGAGCTTGCCACTTGAGATCTCTGTTGCCTCTCCATGGTTTCCCTAAGTGAATACTGATGCAGTCACTAATTTGACCCTCCCGATGTACTTCAAATAGAGGGGCTTATTTTAAATTAATTATTACACAAATCCTGAATCCTAATGAGAAGATAATGCAGTGATGTGCATGCAGGCACAGTCCTGCTGTTCACGGAATGGCAAATCTCCACAAGCCTTTTCCATCTGAACATCTCCTAAGCAAAATCCGTTTTGCTCCCCAACCCTGCCGAGATCTCGCACTTGTATCAGCAGTGTTCCCAAACACCTGGTCTCCCAAACCGCAGATTTCAATCCCTTGCTATACTTCCCTCACACAGTCATCAGGCACAAGGCCCTATCAACTTTCTCTCAGACATGTGTCTTGAAGTTGGGCCTTCCCTACATGCCACTGCCTCTGCCTTACTTGAGTCTGGCTCCAAAGCATCTCTAGGTTCCGTTTATCCTAAGTCTAATTGCTTAGTTTAGCAAGCAAGGTGGAACCCGCTTTACCTCACCGTGTATCCCAACCACTGTGCACATTCACCCTCTCCATAGTCCCTGCCTGTGAGGCCCTGCCCTCAGCGTTGGATATCGGTTTCCCTGCCTCACCCTTTTTCCAGCTGGCAAACTGCTCCCTGCCATTTAGTGGATCCCCAAGGGTCCCCTCATCTCATCTATGAAATCTCTACACCCTAAATCAAAACCAATACCTCTCATACTATTTTATGCTGTTCTCTGTGTTATTAATAATGTTTTAAAATCTACATATGTAGATGTTCTTTATTAACCAGTCTATTAAAATCAGAAGGTTTTACTTTGCCTTTATATATGTTACCCTCCTGAAACCTATAGTTCAGGAACATGGATATTTAAAAATACATTATACCAAGGCCAATGATGGAGTCATAAGTAAAAATTTCTAAGGAAATTACTAAGAGCAGAACTTAATGTAGTCTGTTGGTGTCGAGATTTAATGCAGTCTGCTGCCCCCACGTGAAGTGACATCAGTCATGTAAAACGACAGAAGAAGTTGAGAGTTAACGTCAAGCAGAGGACAACATGGAAAGCAAATGCAAAAGTCAAACAGAGGGGCACACCAAACTAAAGAACATGTGAAGAGTTCAGAGAAGAAAGTGGGGCAGGGATAGGTGCTGGAGAGGTATTTGGGCCAGGTCAGACTTTGCCTAAACATGATAAGAACTGTGTATGTAGTCAATCCAGAAGTCAGCTAACAGTGATTAAGTAGTTTTCCACAGAGACATGAAGTCAGAGTTGTTCTCTAGAAAATTTACTAGTGATATATTTTAAGGAGCCCTGATGGGACTAAAGTGCTTGGCAACTAACTGTTTAGACATGTCAGTCGTTCCACGGGAGCAAGATGAGGCAGTCTGCTTTCATAAAGATTTGCAGCCTTGGAAACACTATGGGACAGTTCTGCTCTGTCCTATAGGGTCCTATAGGGTCAGAATTAATTCAAAAATGGGTTGAAGGTATGTGGCGATTTTGTACTGGGCTATGTTAGCTAAGGAGAACTCTCTGTAGTCAGAATCCTCAGGTGAAACTCTTGTTAGAATGTATGGCAGAATGGTACAGCATTCTGCTAAGTGACAGTGGCTAGAAGTAGGGCCCATCACAGAGGAACTTGTGGGTTCCTAATGAGCCTCACCCTTGCCTACTACTCAACAAGGAATCTGCCGTCTCAATGACCCAATGAACAACAGGTATGGAGAGGCCACTGCATCCTCCCATCTCCAGGGGACGACGTAGCGCTCCTGCACAGATCCATCCCAGTATCCCAGATGCCAAGGTCAACTTCAATCTACCCACTAACTCCTGGGTTTCAGAAGGGTGTTCAATGAATTCTCCAATCCTCTACATTCTCTTTCAAACCCTTATTTCTCCTTCTTCTTCTATCGCTACTAAATTCTATTATAATAAATTCCTTATTCCATAGACTCATAGAAGTTCTGCTTCCCTGGTCGAACCCTATCTAATACACTGGGTGAACATCAAGGAGAAAATGGAAGCAGAAGACATCATACATTCCTATCCTATATGATGATATTTACAAATTGTTGAATGCATAAGGTGGATAGGATGCCAACCAGTTAGCATCATAAGATAGGTATCCATTTAGAACTAATTCTTCACAAAAAATAAAAACAAAGTTTAGTATAGAGCAAC